ATTATTACAATCATCTATAAATATTCTTATTGGATGATTATTATAAACTGTAAAAGAGAGTTAAGAATTTAAATCACACATACACGCGCGCGCGAAATTCTCGTAGTTCCTCAAACGCGAACATGAAGATAATATTCGAGACATGAAAGCCTCAATGTGCGGTTTACGTATACGACTAAGTTATTGCAGCTGTAGAATTAATTTGAATGAGATCGAAACTACGGGATGTGGATATAACCATTGAATAGTTCAGGATTGCGGCAGGATAGGAAGTCGCGCGACGTTGTACGCGACGGAGATTTCTTGTTGACTAACTACTTCTCCTCTGATGTACTCGCTTGTCTATCCACGCGTCTCCTTCGCAGGCTGCGAACAACTCGAACCGGTACGACCGGAAAGAACCGGCAGAATTCTCTATTTCTCCCTCCGTGTCCCAGTCCCTCCACCCTCGGTCTCTGTCACCGCCAGCGTAATCTCTTCCTCCGCGCATTGTCGAAACAGGCGCACGCGTTATAATCAGATCCCGAGGCATTTAAATCTCTCGGAAAACATTGGGTCCGCGCTCGCGTACAAGTCCCCCAAGAGACGGGGGGATTCTCTTTTCTTACGTTTGCGCAAAGGTTAAGTATATGCTGCCGGCGTTATACGAGAATGAGGCAGTCACGTGTAGCGCTGGAATACGCGCTGCTTTTCCCGGATTATCTCCGGAACTTGTTCCATAAGCGCGAGCACGTTTATCACGGTGAACGACTTTAGCCATCGAGAACCCGACACGTCCTTTCCATTTCATTCCTCGGCTGGAGCAAAACAACAGAGATTTTATATTACGAACGAACGATACGAAACATTAACAGGACGAGAAACAAGGACACTTTTAATACTCTACACACATTCCGATCTCGTATCTCATTTGCAGAAATAAAGCTGTTATTGTGGTGTTTTCTTCCTTTCATGCGTAAACATTGACAGAATGCTGATACGGAGAGGCGCGTTGTGTCAATAATTCCACGTCAATACGGCGAAAATGATGTATAGCGTACCGACTGGTTCTATCACGAAAAAAAAAGCACGTCGGTCCTCGAATAATACCAGTTTCAATCCGTGCCGCTCACCCGTGCCCGGGTGCGTCGAGACGCAAATAGAATACGCGCTTTCTATTTTGTCGCGATTCTACACCCTCCCGTCAGCATATTTGCAGTTCGGAACGCAAAGGGCGGCAGCGCGAGAGCGTGTTCCCCGATTTTTCCCGGCGTGTGTATTTTTTCTCCGTGTAGATATGAAAAATTTTGCATGCTCAAATGAGCAATCAAAATTTTGCCGCGCGCGAGAACGCGCAGATCGGAGTGGGTTCTAAGAATAGCCTCGTTTCTCCCAGTTCGTCGCGATACACCTACGCGTCAATTCGGAGGATGCGAGGAAATATTAAAAAAAACACATGTTGCGCGAAACGAACGTTGGACAATGTTTATCTGAGAAGAGCGCAACAAACACCCCGCGCTTTCGAGTACTTTTCACCAGGCTTCTCGTTGTTTTTCTGACGCGTCTCTATTTACGCTACGGTGTACATCGAGAGCTACGTCGCGCGAATAAAAAATTTCGGCGTATCGTATTCATTTGACCTCTACAGGACCGGCCCCTTTTTTTGGACGACCTTTTTAGTTTTAGTGCTAGAACATTCTTGTCCTTGTCAGTGGGTTGAACTACGAAATAGACGGCACTCCAGCGCCTATAATATTGGGCTTCCAGTCCCGCAGAGGTTAATCAAGTTAAAACGTATGTACGAATGTACGGACGTGCTTATCGCTACGCAGTCATCCGGCCTTATTTCGTGGAATCGAAGACGAATATGAGATCGATCCCCCTCCTTCGGCTTTCGCCCGACATTCACATACAAGAAAAACGGTCAAAACGGAGCCGCGAATAATCGCGGATGTGTTCCGAAATAAAGCGGAACGACGCGCGGTCACGTGATCGCGTCGTGTGGACAATTCGAACGACGCGGCGTTCGCGCCGCGAGTGTTTCTCACCTGGGACTTCCACCGTCCACGTTCCACCGGCGTGAATGGCATTCGCTACGCCGCGGCGTGCCGCGCCGGCGGCTCATGTGCGTGTGTACGACAGTGTATATACGTGTGTACTTACCGGGCAGTCCTTGAGACTCGAGATTTCGCGCCAGCCGCGGGGACGTGCGAGCAGCATCCACCGACAATGATCCCTGGCGACGCGCGTCCCACCGCCGTCGGCGTGGAACTCTCGCGTAATGGCGTACCTTTTGCACTGACCCGACGTGAAAAAAAAAACTCCGGAACACGGTCGTAACGACACTGACTCGCGACGTGTCCCTGATCGACGTTTCGTCACCTCGCGACGACGCGAGGCCGACCGTAGAGCGAGAACGACGACACACGGCACACGGCGTGACGGCACGGCGAAGACGGGCTGGCTGAGAGTAGGGAAGAGAGTGACGCGCGAAGTGCCTCCACGACGAAGGTCGAAGCGCGACTGATTTGAAGCGCGCCGCTGTCGCGCGCGGCAACGGTTGATTCGCCGTGAAGTGCGCGCGCCTCGCTCTCTCTCTCTTCCTCCCTCGTTCGCTCTCCCCTGCCCCTCTTTCTCACGCTTACTCGGCGCGCGCGGAGCGAGTCCCGCGACGCGTATACCTGTCAATCTCTCACGGGCGGTCTCACACGATTATTTCCTACGCGCCGGCAAGTTAAACGTCGCCTGCCTCTGTCATTCACAATTTTATAATTTCGCCCAATTATCATATCGTGAAGTCGCCCCGGGATTAAAGTGCTAAAAAGTGCTTTTCCCGCGCGACGATATATCGATCGACGCGCGAATCCTGAGAACGGAAAGCGGTTTTTAATTCGCGCGACGTATCTTCTGATTTTTTTTCTCTTTTGTTTCTTTTGTTTTTTCCCCGTTTTTTCGCAAATCGATATCCCGTCGACCTTGCGCGGCCTCGCATTGCATGCTCTGATTTCTGATCGCGTTCAGATGTGCAATTTGCAATTTCGTTAACTCCGCTGTAATTGGAAGCCCGTTATAAAGAAGTTATAATCGTTATTAAATGCCGCCTTGCTCGTTTACCTTTTCAGCCACATTGCGGCCACGCTGCAAACTGAAATAGTTCCGATTTCCACGCGGTATATATATTTCCACCGATCGAGATCCCGTATACATGTCAGTCTCCTGGCGTCGCACGATTATTTTTGATCCTGACAGCCTTCACGAGAATAAACGCGTTCGCGATATGTAATTTGTAATTTTATCATCCGACGCAATTATCATCACGTGAAAGCTGTTATAATTGTATCAAACGCCTGTTTATCCCTCGTTTTCACCGCGAATTTGGGCCTTGAATATTTCAATTGCTCATTGATAATGATTTTCCAAAACTGCGACTTTATATGATTTAATAATGGACGCGCGTTGTATGAAATTATTATTGTTATTATTATTAAACACTTTCGCGTTGCCCTGTTACATTTCCAATTTTGATTTATGCAAAACATGCTAGTGTTTTATGCTAGAATTATTATTGGAAATCATTTACGCTAATTATCGATGTATGATCGTGAAATTAACTGGAGTGCAGCCATGAGCGTGAATTATCATTTACATTGAAGATCAAATAATCGGCGATGGACAATAGCGCGATGTATATTTATAATCTCGATGTTTTGTGCCGGTTACAATTTTATTATATGAGAGATCGGCTTTAACGCGCATTTATACGTGAATTGTTTTGTCTTCCATCATATACGTAATATGATGGTATATATATATATATATATATACGTAATTAAATTTTAAGAGGCCCATACACGCTTTTCTGTTTCAATTCTTTGGAACTGAGTCTTAATGAAAATTTTTAGATCTCAATTAATATATAGGGGTAAAAAGAGTTACTCTCTCCGAAAATCTAGTGGAATGTAACTGAAAAAAAAAATATGAAGGTTGAAAGTAGAGGTACAAAAAGTAGAAGTGACTCCTATCTTTTTACTGACAAATATTCAATTAATAAATAATTTTGTTTTCCTAAGCGCGAAAAGCGGCCTGTTTCACGCTCTTGTTAAGAAAAATAGTATGAACAACTCGTGGGAAGAGTGGTCGAGCCCAAATGAGTGTGATGGTCGCACTCGCCACACTCATTCATAATCGACCACTTTTTCCACTAGTTGTACAATATACTATTATTTTTTCAGTAAAATAAATCGATATAATTATTATTTGAGTGATAATTTTATTTAAAAAAATAGACGAAATTATTTATTAATTGAATATTTGTCTCTTACGTGTTTTTCCGTTTTAAATACTTGTATAACGCGCGGATCCTAATTAATATTTTTAGATTACAATTGATATTTAAGGGTAATTCTGAAAAAGCTATAAAAGATAAAAATAAAAGTAAAAAAAATTAAAAGGTAGGAGTCATTAATTCTTTTACTTTAATTAGGATCCGATACAATTCATACAAGAATTTAAAACGGAAAAACACGTAAAAGCCTCCTAAGACTTTGGATTAATGGGTTAATATAAAATACTGATTGTTTCTGTATTCTTATATGAGTATATCACATATGTACATTTTGTACATATATGTATACGCGCGCACGGGAAATGTCACACGAATTGCAAAGAGATTCCGCGATGATGGAACGCACAATAAGACAGCGCTATGTAGACTCCATTATGAAGGGCATCTATTGTGCCTTTCCGTTGTATATATAAGTACGTGTCGCGAGACAAAGCACGACAAAGAGCAAAACACATACCCGAACGATAAACAAATGGTTGTCAAGCGCCCAAAAGAGCCTGCAGCCGCCGGCAATAAGCATTGAATTATGGTCTAAGAAGTAATAAGGTCTGTATACCATATAAATGGGCCGTTTAAAGACAAATGTTTTATTGTCAAACGTTAAATATGGAAGCAAAATTTATATCAATAATATTAAAGAATATTACGCTAAATAAATATTACGCTTCAACGAGTCTTTTGATTACGTAACAAGCTAATTACGAATAAAGAACGAGATAAACTTTTCATGGTGGGATGGAGGGGCGGCGCGGACGTGCCTGTTAAACGGAGAGAAGTAACAATAGTCGAAGAAAAGTTTTTATTACGAAATCCAATTTCTCGTGTACAGAAGCTGTTTCGATAGTGAATCGATGTCCGCGCAAAGAGAGCTGTGATGTGATACGTGCCGTGGATTATTTACAGAATTCCGATGCGAAGTTGGTTATTCGTACACCGTTTGAGAACGCGAACCGTAGCAACCGTTTGATTGCGCACGGTGGAAAAGTTGTCGGATGCACGGAGCGAACGTGATGAAATGTGCGTATGTATACGCTCGATATAATCTTAATTAGCAATCGCGACATCGTCGAATAAAAACAGCATTCCCCCGCGTTTCCGGGCATTTTAATGACGCGCGGATTCGTGTTTCTCATCGACGGATGTGAGGCAAAAATATTGGCTCTACGTCGAGCCAACGTTTCTCGACCACAAGACATATCGTGTCCGTGACACGCGACCCTTTCTCGTGCATACATTTCTCTCCTTCTCTTTTTGTTCTTTTTTTCCCTTTGAACCTCGTGCGGCACGTGCGAGTTTTCGTGATGCATGAGTGATGAATATGCAAGACGTGAGCGATGGAGGCGACGGCGACGACGGCGGCGGCGGCGATGGCGGCGACGGCGACGGCGACAGCGGCAATGGAGATGACGGTAACGATCCTGGCGATAATGGTAATGATAATGATGATGAGAGAGAAAAGCGCGAGCCGCGACGTCGGGTATGGCGCTGGTTCCGCGTATATTCGCATCTTTACCGTTGGCCGTGTAGATGTTCCGCAAAGTTTGACGTCAACGAGAGAAGAGTTGCGGCAAGATGACCCCTCGTCCCCCCTTCCAGTTACGATGCGGGTGCTACATAAGGGAAAAAAAAGAGAGAGAGAATATTAACGTGGGAAGCAGCCGCTGTGGCGAGGTACGAGTGCAGAATTATTAACTAGAACTAAGATGATAAGCCGATGGTACAGAGTCGCTCTCGTCGATTTTCCTCCGAAATTGTAGTACGGGCACTAATGTCGTAGATGATGATTGATCGATGCACACAATTAGTTCGCGATAATTAGTTCGTCCGCGACATGCCAGTGACGCTAGAGTTTCGTCTTTTTTTTAGTCCGTCGAGTGCGATGACTTTTTTTTTAGTCCGTTGCGTTTTTATGCTTGGTGGCTTTGACATACCGTTCATGATGTATTTCGCGCTCTTTAGCACGGGACTGCCTCTGATGCGGATTGTAACTCGCAATATCAAAACTAGATTAGCTAAAAAATTAAGTTAAAAACGCAAAATTAATACGACGCCAATTTTGTCAGACGACGTGAACTGGCGGTCGAAAAATTCTATTCTCTCTTGTTGTGGCTTCTCGCAAAATATGAAACCGTGATATATCCAGTTTCAAAAAAACAATATTTGAATAAAAACAATAATTGTTTACGAAAATGATTAAGTGCCAGATTTTTGAAAAAAAAAATAGATTTTGTGTTACGTAACCTGAAAAGTAATATAAATCAAATCATAGATGTTTCACGTACTTTCGGCCGGCGCGGGCGCGGGTGCAGCTTCCGCTGGAGCTGCGGGTGTCGCGTCTGTGGGTACGGCTCCTTCGGCTGGTGCAGCCGGTGCACCTTCCGCTGGAACCGCGGGAGGAGCAGCTCCTTCAACCGGAGGAACTCCTTCCGCCGGCGGTACCGCAGGAGCTCCTTCCGCTGCTGGTGTCGCACCTGCAAAATTTTTTTTGTCTTACGGAGGATACCAAAAATTTCTATCTCACGTAACAGATCAATCATACACTCTTTTGCATTCGAAAAACTGAAAGCACATATTGACAACGTATAAAATTGGCAGACTGATCGACATCAGTCTTTCAACTGTAGCATGCAAGAAAAATATTTTGAGTTTACTGACAAGCAGAATATTTTGCCTAAATCTATTATTTTAATATTAATTAGAATAAACTAATAGTGTTATAAATTGACAACAAAAAGTCTCCATCGATTATTCAATATAACTTTCAGTTGCTTCTGTTGCAAATACATGTTATCTATTAATCTTTACGCAATAAACTATTATTATAGTCACAATAAATTAATGTATAATTCAATCTCATTTTTTGACAATTTGGTTTTCGTGAACTAAACATTTCGTTAACGTAAAGCAATCAGGTATAAGAAACAAATATGACAAAATTAACCTTCAGCTGGAGGTGCAGCGGGTACTCCTTCTGCAGGTGCTCCCTCTGCGGGTGCACCTTCCGCAGGCGCAGCGGTAAGTGCAGAGCCTTCGGCTGGAGGTGCTCCTTCAACAGGTACACCCTCCGCTGGTGGGGCTGCTCCTTCCGCAGGTGCAGCTCCTTCTGCCGGTGGCGCGGCACCTTCCGTAGGAGGTACGGCGCCTTCCGCAGGGGCTGCTGCAGGTGCGCCTTCTGCACACAATTAACGCTCTCTTAAAAATTATAAAATATAAAAAAATAAAGCATACACGCGCGTCATGTATTAAATTTTCGAAAAAAAAAGTTTCTAAAAAAATGGACACACAAATTACTGTGGGAATATAATCTTGAAAAGTATCATATATTTTTAAAATCTTTTAAGCACTTACCAGCAGGTGCTGGCGCAGCTCCGTCCGCCGGCGGGACACCCTCGGCTGTTGGAGCAGGAGCTGCTGGAACACCTTCGGCTGGAGGTGCGGGTGGAACAACCGGTGTCGGCACAAAAACTGGTGCCGGTTCCGTTGAAGGAAGTACAGGAGTTGGAGGAGTTGGGGCTGGCGCCGGGGGGGTCGGGGTTGGTTCTGGTGGGGGTGGTTCCGCCACGGGTGCTTCAGCCTGTTCGCCCTCCTACATGGAATACGAGTATTTACTCAAAATAATATATGACATATTGATATTAACAAATTAATATGTATGGAATATTTTTAAGTTACCCCAGAGAACTTTAAAAGTTAGTTAAAGTATAATAGCACTTTTTTCAAGCGTTCTGTGATTTTTTCCGAGATGAAAACGACCAGATAAAAGAATGAGAGACACAAAATATTTTATTAAGATTGAACACGCGATTGACAACTGAAACACGTTCGTCTCGTCACAGCGAGATCGTTGTGAAAAGCGATCCCACGAACAAAAACAGAATTGCGCGTGCAGCTGCGCGAATCGTCACTGACACACGCGTATTAAATTGTGTGATTAACGGTCAGCGCGCACGTTTCGCAAATGTACTCGCATTAAACCGCCGTTTATAGATACGTCATTTGTCCCGCTCTCGATAATAATGCTTTATGCGTTCGGCCACGAGCTTACGACGCGACGCGCCGCGCGCGCTTCCCGTGGCTTCGCGTTGACGGCGTTTTGCGCCATAAATCATTTGCGCGACCATTGTGATCGGCGAATATTGTCAAGATAATTAAACAATGTGCACACGACACCCGATATGAATACAGTTGAATGCGTGAAACCCGTGTCGAACGAGGCGGCGGCGGAGAAGGCTACGCCAGCATGTCGAAAACGATCGATGAATTCCGAAAATAAATTGCGAGATTGCGGAAATCGACACGTGTAACGTACGATCGAATGAAAAAGGACTCTCGACGTTTGCCCGGAGTTGATATAATGAGGCTTTGTTGAAACGTTGAAAGTGCCATTTAATTAGATATATATCAACGTTCATTATCGACACAAATTAGCGCGATAATTAATAAACACAGATAAAAGAAACTGCGATACAATAACGAGCGTTAAACATAAAGCTAATACGTGATTTTTAAAATCTGTATAAACGGGCGGAGATCGTAATACGAGAGATTTCAAATATAACATTTTTAATTAATAAATGTAAAAAGACAAATATGAGAAGGCAAACGGTATTGAAATTTTTCTGTAAATTAAATAAATCATACTTAATCACAAGAATATCAATAACAGATTTAAAATAAATTGTTGATCAGAATTGCATATGTTGTCGAAGTGCGTTTTATTTTGGAAAATATCAGTCGGCGGAACACTTCTCGCAAATGGAGGGAAATGAACAGATCCATAAATCAATAAAGCAGATCGAAATTGTCAAAGTACATAAGAGCGTGTGTATCATAGCGAACGTGATGAAGCTGTGTCAAAAGCGTCACTCAATAGCGAATAGTTATGAGAAGCGAAATCCAGTTAGTGACATACCTACCGTATCTCTGGATATTGACTTATCTGCAAATTAAAAAGCTTTCGGCATTATTCTTATTAATTAACACGCTGCGACGACGCAACGGCTAGAAATATAAATCCCTTACAGTAACAGCTTCACGAATAAAAATTACCAAACGTTAAAATAATTAGAAAAATGCCAAAAACTGTATTGTATATTCTTTATATAACCTTTTTGCACTTTTAATTTGAATCAAAAGTATTTAATTTTACATCATAAAAATTAATATAAATGATAGAAGTTATATAAATATTTAATAAAAATTTTCTAAATAATTAAATTCGAAAAAGTGTCGTTATATATTTTATATTTATATCGTTAAGAATAATTAATTAGTATCTTTCTACACTATCTACTTGGTGAGAAATGCATCAACGAAAAATAATTATTTAACGTACATAAAACATGAAACGTATACAAAATATCGGATATTATCTATACATATCAAAGGTTAAAACAAAAACTGTCACAGGTGGAATGTGAAAGGAATATGAATAAAACATAGGAAAATGACCACACATAGAGATTTTGAGTACTGTTAAATATTTTGCTTTACAATAAACCTTAAGTAACAGTTTCCCCCCGTTATTCTCTCTACAATAATATCTCTCCCCTCGCATTTGATTTGCAGAAAGAGACAAATTTTATTTTATTACTTTTTTTTATGAATCCTGCACGCAACTCTAGTGCTCTACAGTGATTTACAAGGTCCATTAAAAAAATACGTTACGTCCATAAAAAAGATAGGACAGACACAGTGGAGTGTAGAATGTAGAGCTACGGATTGGATATTGGATATAAAAAAAAATTGTTTTTGATATAATCTGGGACGTACGAGCAATCATAACGGACAGACGAACGGGCAAAATTTTTGCGTGCAACTCACGACAACGGGACACATTAAATTAATTAATGAATCGATCGTTAAAAAATATAGAGGAGGTTCTTTGGAGTTCCTGCATCGAGCGGTTATTGACGGTGAGACGGACAGACGATCCTGCGTTTCTCTCGGGAACGACGAGAATAAGATTTTCAATTCTCTCATGCCTCCACCGGTGTCGGTGGCGCCGCGTCTTCTTCCTTTACCTTCTTTTCGTCGCCCTTCTTCGACCAGTCGGGTTTCTTCTGCAAAATCGAGGAAACGTTGCGTCAAATGCATGGAATATCATTACGTTCAAAATTAGACTCGCACACTGGTTAGCAGTGTCGGGGTGAACGCGCTTGCAAAGCTGGGGGGCCGGGGGATAATCCTAGGGGAGTCAAAAAACTTCTGAACGGGGCTATTCAGTCGGAAGGACTCTATGCAGTCTATGCAAAAAATCTAGAGAACGAGATCTAGACAAAAATTGTGCTTCGTGGTCGTCGTCGTGGATCGCGTCGCCATACACCGTTCAATTGTGGAATTTCTGCGCCAGCTTCCGGGGATCGCCAATTCTCGTACTACCAAAAAATTCTCTCGACGTTACCGGGAACGTCGCCCGGCACTACGCTCAATCACGGAGCATCTACAAAGCCGTGCAGATTGTTAGTAAAAATAAAAAATACCGGCAGAGGAGAATCACAAGTCTCCAACAAAAAAGAAAATAAAAATAAATAAAAAGAGATTGAAATGGAGAAACTAAGACAACGGCTTCCGACGTTGTCGAGAATGCTGGGAGCAGTGCGTCTAAACATCGTGAGGAAATCACGAAGAAGCGGAACATAATATTGAAGAAAAGATTGCATTGAATCACCACGGACGTTAAAAACGAAGGAGAAGCTTCTTTTCTATCCTATCTCTCCATTCTCCCACTTCACATACACACACACACACACACACACACACGCACACCAATATGTACGATCTATTCGTTCTATCTACTCTCATCTATCACACGCGTCATTCTCTCTTACGCAGGCATGCCGAGCTACAAGTTGGCTGTTAAAGTTTTACCTTATCTTTTGACGCACTCTGCGAACATAATGCAAGAGCAATATTATTAGTCGACAGATAAGACGTGGACACTGATTAAGCGTACATTTAAATATCAACTTAACGAGTAACGCGTCGTTCATGGCTCACGTCGTAAATCGTAAGCCATGATCGACATCGTGATCGACACGCATATTGATCGTCGAAAATATTTTCTTCCTAATTATTATTTATTATAAATTAGCAAAAAAGATAATAAGAGATATTTTTTTCATAAAACGTCAAAATGCGTGCACGGCTGTGCACAAAGACAGAAAGACAGAGCACCAAATTCTACATAGTCTGAAAGCATGGCAGCCGATTGATGGCAATAAGGCAAGCTACAAAAGGACTTCAATTGCGTGATCAAACGACTTTAGTTTCAAAGAGTGCGTGTTTCAGTTTCTGTTTTTTTTCCCAGGTGAGCTTGTATTCCTCTTTCTATTGATCTTTTTTTTTTACATTTTGCATTCGGTATATAGCAATCCGGCGTAACGAACGATCTTGCGTGAGAAAGTGCGGCAAATTAACACGTGTAAAAAGAAGATAAACGAGGCGAGTGTGCGAAAAAAAAAACGGAAGGCAACAATATAATTAGACAGTAGAAGAGTAGAAAAACGCGAGTGGGCAGGCATGTGTGAGTAAAGCGCTTCTGCCATTATGTACGAAATAAAAGTGGAGCTGTCAGCTTCAAATATACTTCGCAAGCCAATCTCACCTTTTTGCGTCCCTCTTAATCTTATACTTTATTTACATCGCGCTGGATTACGCTATCGCGAAAATTTCTACGAAATTACATAGATAGAGACGGAAAAGAACGCGAAAAAAAAAACAGATATAGGTACAAATTGGACAGTACTCTAATCGCCGTGATGTCGGAGAAAAAAATACGAGATAAAGAAAATTAAACGATGCCTCAGAGAAAAGCGAATTAGTGAAGTTTTACGAGAGGGGAAGAGAGAGAAAGAGAGTAAAACGGTACGAGTCTCGATAACAGTCGACCTTTCTCCTTATCGAATATTTGAAATAAGCGTTCGCCTAACATCGCCTGGAAGAATTTCTCTTATCACACGACAAGAAAATACGAGCCGCGCCGCGCCGGAGCGAAAGTCATATCTGATTTCGCATAAAATACAAGGTGCTATGATCGCATTAACATTCTCATACACAGCGTCACGTTTCCGTTACGTATAACGGAAACAATCGGGAATTGAGATCAATTCGAGTTACCGAGTTTCGTGTCCGATGGGGGTAACCAGGACAAAGGAAAGAGAAAATAAAAATCAAAAGCGATCTGTCGCGGTGAGAAACTTCAGAGACGGTGAGGAATAAATCGTAAAAATAAGTAAAAAGAAAGCGGGGGGAAAAATCTGCCGATGAGGGACATAAAAGAATATTGGAGACACGAGGGGAAACATCTAACTTATTTCACGTGCGCTTTCTTCGATCGTTTATTGCCACAACTTATCGCTTTTATGTATAACAGGTTGTATGTGAATATTTACGCAGAGTCAACTTCTCCCTACGTCGCTCGTTTTGACTAGTTTGCGCAGAAGAGGGATATAATCAAATATCGGCTAACTCCCTAGAATTGTTCGTGCAATTTTCAATTCTCACTCGTTAATTTGTTTCGCAGCGCTAACGAACTAGTTTGACAACAATTCGAACGAACGTGACGGCGAGAACGCGCTTACACGCGAGACGATTCGATGGAAACGGTATCAAAATTGTTCTAAACGCGTTTACACATTTATTTTCTTTTCCTTCCTCTTTCCTATGCGCTTTTTCACGGCTCATTTTCGCACGCACGCGTGCGCGCGCCTGTCAAGTCGACTGTACAAACGCGATTGTGTTAATGTTTCTTCATATGTGTATGTGTACGCGTGTGTATAGTAAGTTTCTTGGTTGTTTTTTTCGTTTGTTCTCGATTTCTTTTTGCGTTGTAATAATGTTTGTATTTTATTGAGATTTCGCACTCAAACTGTTTTACTGTTTTCTTATATTAAATCTACTTCTTGGTCTGCCACTCTGCCTTCTCGGACTTCTTGGGCTGTGGAGAACAACACAAATTGCCTAGTCAACTACCACTACTACTACTTCCACAATACGGATAACGTATATACATGTCTACCGACGATCCTTTTGAGGAGATCCTGCTTACATACCAAAAGAAGTAATTGTGTATATAATAAAAATTTTTCATTAAGAATAAATTTATCACAATGTCAGCTAATTGCTATAATGTACGTAATACTTGCACGTGAGAAACTAAAACGCAAGATCGGGCGAGCAGTGAAAATCGATATCATCTGAGTTGTCAAAATCATCAATAATAAACGACAAAGATAATACGGATTTAAGTGCAATTCGGAGAGTGAACGCGTAAACTTTAGACTGTTAATTAAACGAGATTAATTGCTTATAACTAAAAAATTATGATAATCTCGACACTTTTATGAAGATTTTGAATCTAATTGATCTCCAAAATATGCTTACAATATTGCAAGATGGTTGTGAGAAGACACCCTGTATATTGACATTTATTATTCAAACTACTGCAGTCATTGATTATCGCAATGATATATTTTGCGGTTAATCGATTTGCATAAATTTAACATCCTCGAAATGACAATAGCCTCATACATTTAACCGAAAGTATCGCGGTTCGATGAATCGATGATTAATTACCGCGCGATTATCCATTGCTCGAGATTTCCGAGAGAATTTTAGCTTCCAAATTAGCTGATAAAATAACGCACCTCCAGGGAAATGTATCATCATAAATATTTTAATAGCGGCAATATCGAAATGCAAACAAGGCTATGTAATGCGGATCTCCTAAATTGGACACGGTACACTGAACGACAAAAAAACTACTTGAACGATAAAAACCTGCCAATTGGGTTTTTGTACACAAAAAGAAAAACCAGGGTTACAAAAACTGTTTTTTGGTTCACTAATAAAACATTTGCTACACGCCTACCCGTCGGTGATCGTAAAAAATAAGCGTTCCTTGCAAAATTCAATATAACTATCAATGAATTTATCGAAATTAAATTCGCAGAAATGTACAAGGTAATAACATAAAAATAAAAAATGTAACTAAATAAATAAAAATAAAGTAAAACTTGAATTAAATGCTACTAAAATAAATAGAAATAATTACAAGATGGAGGTAAAATTCTCCAATGTGCATTTCCTCTCGTAAAATTATTTTCGTCTTGATAAATTCAAAGAACGCTTTGATGGATAGGGAAAGAAATATTTTTACAAAAAAATTCACGTCGCTTAGACGAAACGCGAAGGTTTTATCGAAAACGATCATCCTTACCTCCTTGTCCTCTTCCTCCAAGGTGAATTCCTTCTTCTTCACTTGTTTCAGCTGATTACGGAAATTAAACTCGGCGGCTTTCTTTTGGAGCTTGGCGAACTTGTTCTCGTATTTGGACACCTTCTTTAGGGTTGGTTTCATGCTGAAAGAGACAAGTGAACGTTATATAAAATAAAATATAATCTTAGGATAAATATTAGTATTCCAGTTATAGAAATTGTATTGCGTGATTATTGTTATTATGATATCTATGTAGGAAGGAAAGATACTTACAATTTACCTCGGAGATCGTTGACCTGGCTGTTCAAGTCCGCGATCTGCATGTATTGAATATTTCTATTAACATCCATTGCATTTGATATTGCGATATAATTTATTCATGCGCATTTATAATTTTCTTTTTATATACAAGACAAATTTTCCGTTTCGAATATGTATATTCGAATATTTTAGTAAAGTATTCACATCTGCAGTGTGACGATATTCGAGCAAGTGTATATACCTTATACGAAAACGTAATACTCTCGACGTATCTATTCGATTCAAACTCTTTTAGATTTACAAAGGCAAGCTTTTTTCCGAAATAGTTGTGCAATAATTCTTGTATACAGTAAAGAAATATCGCGTATTAGAATTAAACGCGGATTAGTGGACTCACGTGAACGGCATGACAATCCAGCCACAAACGGTTAATCAAGAAAAGAAAAAAAAAGAAACGGACAGGTGAATCAAATCGTATCGGCGTGTATCCTGCATGGCAAAAGCACAAGCAAGAGAGAAAGAGGAAAGGGAGTTACACAGTGTTGAGCAAACGCGCAGATATTCAACTGGCGAGCCACTCGACGGATCGAGATTGACAGTAAATTGGCTTGCGGATTAACTGCAATAGCGGATGACGGCGATGGATCCGGAATAGAGGAGCGGTTTCGCGACGAGCGAATGATAACGAAAAATGGAAGAAAAAGGGGAAGGTCTGCGGAATAAATAATAACTAAAACTGGGAAGTCTATCCAAAATTTACGACACATATGCCAATCTAATGGAAAGTAAAAATTTTAATGAAAAAAAAATCATGGACGAGAGATTTTACATTACTCGCAAATACAACAATTACGCGGCAAAATAACACTTTACATTTTTTCATGTAAAAATATCACGATTAAAACATCGCAAAAGTCATTTCATTCAGCTTCATAACAAAGAAAGAACAAACACACAATGTACGTAAAAAATCTATAATTGCAATTTCATAGCGATAGTAGAAAGTTTCGTAGACTAATATTGCAATAGAGGTTCTATGATTTGTGCATTTTCATATCTGGATAGTAGATTGACCGTGGAATTGTTCCCACAGAATTGAATATCTGATGTATAATATCTGTCGCAGAAACTCACACATGCAAGAAATAGAGAAATCGTCGAATTTGTTGCATTACGTACGCAGAATCTCGGAATAGGTTAAATCTAAATGCAAGTTGATTCATATCACCGTATAGTCCTCATTGTATGAATTCATCTGTTTCTGAAAATACTTCTATCGCTCTTACGGGTGACATTGATTATTTTACTTTTTCTGAAACAGTTTCTTCAGGAGCGAGACTTTGTTTTAAAGCCACTTGTCGGATTCTCTCCCTTTCTTCTTAGGGATCATTCGACCGTTATATTCTTTTTCCTTTATTCTCTTCCTCGCACGAGAAAGGGAGAGAATAGGAATGACAAAAGAAAGAAAGAGAGAAAGAGAGAGAGAGAGAGAAAAAAAGAAGGATTGGATACGATGGGGGTGTGAATTTCATTTTGGCCAATCAGGGGACCGGCTGGTCACGATCAGCTCTTTCGTCCGCCGTGATGAGAAAAAAATTACAAAATCCACTACAATCCGTTTTCTAGACTGCCAGAACTCTGTTCGCCTCATTCGAAGCGTGAAACTAATCTCTCGGGATCGATAACCGGTTGATTTAATTTGCTATTTCATTACTAAAACGTTTAACGTTATGTCGGATGTAATGCGCTCCAATTATCTCAGAATAACATTTGCTTCCAAAGCAGCGACGCGTGAAATGTAGAAATTATTTTGAATGCTGCGAGATAATCATTGTTAGCAGTGTCATAAATGCATTATGTAAATATATCTGTGAATATATCACAAACAGTTCAAGTTTTTGACAAGATTGACTGAAAACTGACGACAAAATTCTGTTAAAAAATGGTGAAAAGGAAACAATTATCTTTTGCGAAACTTTTTCGCAAAAAAAAAAAGAGAAGAGAACAGAGTTCTGCCAAAAAGTGTCCGCTATTTACAGCCTAATTGAACACCATAACAAGAGGACACTGACAGTCGGTGTGGTGCGTGCGAATCGGTGCAAAATCAACTTCGCTTTACTTTAAAAACATCGTAGACGCCTGTACGTGTTTACTCCAATGTCTCTCTCGTGTGAGTCGGGTATTTCATGTACATATTTGTTTATCTCACAAAAGTCAATGGAAGTTAATGAACGAGGGGTGGGCTCGATCGATAGAACAGAAAGAAAAAGAAAAAAGAAGATTGAGGGGGGTGCGAGGGGGAGGGAGTTGCGTCCTGAAGATTTTCACAGCATGGCACTTCGGTTTCGTGATCTTTTAATCCGTTCTCGAGCCAGTCCACCTTTGTGAGAATTAAAAATGGAAAATCCTGTGACGGGAGAAAGTAGACACAATCGACTCTACCACTTTTTAAAGTGTTTATGGGAAGGTATACGATAATCGTTTTCCGAAACGAAACTGATTTGTACCCATCGCACTGAGTATCTGTATACTCATCGTCGAGCTTTTTCAATGTCTTTAATGCTTTCTTCAATGCGATGTTGCAAATATCCCAAAACAATTACGTTTTTTTTTTTGTAAATGACAAGTTCAGATAGTCCATAAGGCAAGAAAATATGCTTTTTCAAAATATTAACGATGAAAGCCAGTTTCTTATCAAAGTCATGAAAATTCGCACAACTATTCACGCGCATGTTATGATATAATAAAATAAGTATACCGAGATGAAATCGCGAAAAATTACTTGTTTTTCTTCCTTCGCGATGAATATGAAGTGCCATACTTCTTATCGCGTAGCTACGGAAGTATACGCGAATTAAGCTCCATTAACTTGAGCGACTCGCAATATGTCCGTCGCAAACGGAGTTTTATCAACTATGTAATCACGGAGATTAACAGAAAAGTTGCTGATAGGCTAGCGCTCATGCTGTTAATTCAGCTGCTGCGAGTTTTAAATCATATATTCTTATTTTCATAAATCACTATTATCCTACTTTTCATCAGAAAACCGTTCAATCTACTCCGCAGTGATAATGATAATTAAACTGTTGCAATTGACGTTACGAATATATTCATCTCTCTGAATTCGACGTAACATAAAATAATTCGCATCTAAATAACCATCTTGAAATGAAACTGATCTCTAAAAATGTCAAAGATAAAAAAAGAATTTAAGAAAAAGGAGTGTAATTTGTATCAATTTATTATACATAAATATTATTCACAAATACCAATTTGATAACAAGAGTTTTTGTTTGACAACGATTAATTTGCGTAACGAGATACATAATTCCGGTAATGGGTATTTTGAGAGAATACGAATTTATCTTGCATCACATGACGCTCCGAAATATCAGATAGCGATCGGTCAAGTCTTCAATAACACGAAATTAATCAACACTATAATGGAGCCATCCGCCTGTTTCCTCATAATCCTGTTACCATATCCAACAGCGTTAATTAACCCGCATTCATTACGCCTATATATATACATATATGTATATTGCATCTTTTAAACTTAAACAGTTTATTAGTTAGAAAAGCCATGCATGCGCGGTAAAGCAAATTTGTTTTTAATAGGACGGAGTAAGCGAAAAAAGATAGAGGGAGAAAGAAAGAACAAGAGAGAGAGAGACAAAGAGAAAAACGCACGTATGAAAAAAAAAGAGAACGGAAATGTGTGTAAAGCATAAAACAAAATGGTGAAAACAAAAGATAAAGAGGAAGACACCGTAAAAATCGTAACAATCGATGTATTTTCCCGATGTGTACTGTCGTTTCTTTTCTTTCGCTTCCATATCTGATTTTGCACCGCACATCTACGCACGCACGCACGCACGCACGCACATTTAGGCGCGCACGTAGTCTCAGGCATACAGTGTCAGCTTAGTTCTCGCGTGAGACCAAAGGAAGAGTGATCCCTTTCGGTGATCCTCGTGGGTGATATATTTTCTTCGATTGCGTACTCTTTTTTTTTTGCAACAAATCTAGGGCAACTGCTTCTATCACTGCGAAATCGTACGCCCATCTCGTTTCACGATCATTTTTCTCGGCGCGCGAGAATACAACGTTAATTATCACGATCTGCGGTCGGCCAATCCGCGTGCAAATCAATACTGCAAATTTAAGAAGGTGTATAAAGAGTTATAAAGTATACAGTTACGAATATATATAGTAACACAATAATGGCGTCTTCTTTATAAGCTTGCCCAGCCCTGACTCGAGAGAGTAAAGCTTTTTTTTTATTTTCATTGGCGAGTTAGTATAAAGCTCAGAGAGATATATTTGCGTTATGGTTAGATAATAGAGTAAAAAAGAGACAGTATAGATTTGTGACAAATAGATACGTTATAAAAGAGCAAGTGGATACAGTATGCGTTTAGCCAGACAGCGAAGATAGACGTAGAGAAATGAACAGGCGGGTTGAGAACGACACGTTACGCGGTAAAAAAGAGAAATAGAAAGAGAGAGAGAGAGAGAAAAAGTAGAGCAAAAATATGTGACCGACAAAAATGTTTTCCGGTTGCGGCACTTCATATCCACGTAAAAAGGAAAAATCCCCTTCCTTATTCGCGATGTTCGTCCGTTCCGTCACGTTTCGCAAAAATATCGCGTTGAAAAAAAAAAAGATAGATCGTCGTAGATTGTCGGCTAGAAATTATCAAGATCTGAAATTATCAGGACTGATCAAGATTACAAAGATTCGTAGGGTAGCAAAATGTCATCTCGTCAAAGGGTTCCTCCACGCGTCTCCATCGTGGGAACTTATCCCATTGGTTCGCGCCCCGGAGCGGACTTGCGTTCGCGCCGCAAATGTGTTTTCTGCCAAGAAAAATATCGTGAAAGAGAGAACAACAATCGAAAGAGAAACGTATGTACAGAAAGGGGGATGGGCGGAGAACGAGAGACAACGCGAAGAGAGAGATCGTGTGTGGGAGGGGGGGGGGCAGAAGGGTGATGCCCTTATCGTCTGATATACGCGGGAGGGTCGGCAACCCGTGGGAGGAAATGATCAAAAGAGACGTGCGATCCGGCAGTTGCTCTCTTTCTCCTCGCATTGTTCGCCGTTGTCGCTGCTTTTCACTTTTCCTGTACCTCGTAGTCCCTTTTCCGAACTTCACGCTCCAAATCCCACTTCTGACCCTCACAAAGGTAGACGCGGTCGTGATACATTTGGCAAATCTTCTTCAACTCCACTACAAAGAACACGGAGAGTCTCTCAGAAATCTTTGGTTCCTCGATATGTTTGCTTTTCTGACAGCTTAGGGCAGTGGAGGGGCACAGGCGGAATGAGAGACAGACAGCTCTTAGCGTGTGATCGATCTCGCGCGACGTGTGATGTGTAAAGCTAGTATTATCTACGAGTCTCTCGAGTCACGAAAAAGTGAATATCATTGGAATATTATAAGTATATTCAGCCAGAATTCGTTAATTCTGTCGAGTTTAACTAAATGTAAAATTTAATAATAAAAATAATTAATTTATAAATAAAAAAGCATAGTATATCCGCTCGATGAAAGCAATAGCTAATTAAAAGAAAAAAAGCGGTCAGATTGATTTATAAAATTTAATTTTTGAAATAATATGTAAAAAGAGGAAGAGAATTATAGGATATCTAACAAATAGCTGCAGATTCATTAGAAATCTTTAGGAATCTATAAATTTAACATACATACATTAACAATAGCAATAACATTACTGTTTACTAAATAAATAAAATTACACGGGCGATATTGAGGGGTAATACTCTTTGCTTTATACAAAATCCAAGTATCTAAGCCCAGCTTTACATATTTTAGCGAAGAATATAAACTGCGCTGCTCGAATACTAATGGCAAACCACGAACGACGCTGGAATCCCGATGAGACAGTTCTTAATCTCAAGCAACAAGCAAAACTTCCGAAATCTCCGATTCGAGTAAATTGGCGGTCTCTCTCTCGCTCCACGTGCGCGGTAATAAAAGTTGCGCGATGCTCGAATGCTTAATCGCGCGAGACGTCGGGGAAACCCCGAGGTGTTTTCCTCGGCGCAATCGAGCGGGGGGGGGGGGGCGTAATTCCATCCTAAAGTCTTTTTTCGTGAAAATGGAGATCGCCCTGTCGTTGCCCTGCCGGATGTATCGCGAAAGGGAAATGCACGGCGCTGCCGCAGCCTCGGCTGAACACCTTCGAAACTTCGATCTTCGACCATTCGCACGTCCCGGACTATCCCGAACGGGGTAATTGGAAGTGGCGTGAACGAGAAAGTAAATCGGTGCATAATTCCGACGATTTTTCTTATCGAAAAATATTCTATCATTGTTCGTGTACTTGTCTAGGGTTAAACGAATCGGAATCGATGAAAACAATCGAACAAGGAGACAAATTTGAATACAATAAAGTGAAAGAGAGAAATCTCACTCTTGTTTCTCATGGTCGCGCGAGCACTCTCCGATGCGATCTGGTCTCGTCAAAGTAGCATCGCAGCTGCAACGGCCGTTGGCGCAAATAAAAAAGTAGAAACAAAAGGACGTTAACGTTAAGATTCGCGCGATAAAAAATGCAGAGAAAAAAAGTTAATGCTGGTTACGTTCCTTCAAACTGTCCTCAAAGTCTCATCGAGAGTTTGTAGACATTAGTGCCTCGCGACATTTCCCTATCTAAGAGACGTGCAAACGTGCTCGAACCGAAGGTTCAAAGACCCGTCAACCAGAAACGCCTTCGAGAACCGTTCGACCAAGGATGTCGCTCGGTCAAGCACGTGGCGGAGTTAAAAAGAACCACGTAAGTAAGGGCGGGAGAGAAAGGGTGAAAGTTGGACAAAAATAATCTATGCAGGTGACTCGACAGGCTCTCTCTTCTTTAGCAAGCCGATCGTAATTACCTCCATCACTTTCAACCTAATTTGCCTCTCGAGCTCATACTTATCGCCCTCGAGTAAGTATAGTCTGTTCCAATATGCCGAACAGATCGTCTGCAGCTCGGCTAAAAGAACAAAAAGTTATTGGAAAAAAGGGCAAAGTGAAGTCCGCTGAATGTGTTTCGTTATCCCTGTGCCATCGGCTGTCTTAAAAATTAATTCGTTATTATACTATAATCGTTTAGAAATTATAGCTTCAAAAACAAGAAAAAAGGTGAAAGTAAAATATTAATTATGGCACTATATAAAAATATAAAATTGCGACGGCTGTTATCCTCAATTCGTTGATACCGATAGGATAAGAAGAATAACAACTATGATATATTTCATTCAGTTTGTTATTATTCTTAGCGTATCAGTATCAACAAATTGTTCCATTGTATTTTTTATTAGAAAAAAATAATAATCTTTGTGATGTTTAAAAATGTGATGAAAAATAACGCATGTGACGATCTTCTTTGCGATCTTCTGTGATGATTTATATTACTACGAAGGATTATTCGTGAGGGAATGAAATTATCATGGGGAGAATAGAAAAGAAATGAGTCTTTCGCGTTGGAAGCGAGAAGCACGAAGCTGACAATTGCGTGATCGTTAACCTGCCACGAGGGGGGCAAGTGGGAGAAAGATGGGGAAAATTCGACGAGAGAGGAAATCAGCAGGATGAGAGAAATACAGGAGTGTGGAATGGTCTCTGAGTCTGGTAGTGCGTACTCGCAGGAGTATAATATAAAACAAAGTTTTTTTCTACTCATGGCGCCTGCGAGAAATTAACATTACTGACAATGAGACAGATCTACGTTGAGCGATTCTACGAGTCGCGAGGGCCACTACGTTAGAGCTGCTGCTAGAAAATACTCAGATGTCTACTTAATGTCTAATATTATTACGAACAGCTTATGAGTGTGCAAATCGGAACAGACGCTAGATATAGGTGCTTCGCGCGTGAAAGAAGAAAGAAAGATGAAAAAAAATAAAGACAAATAGGAAAGAGTATTTGGCGTTAATCGCAGCTCATCTCTCGTTTGCGACGAAAAAAAACTTTCTCGACCTCCATATCCTTCTTGGCGACTTCGTACTCAAGGTCGTACTTCTCCCCCTCGAGAACGTTGATCCTCTTATGATACTGGGTCAGAGTGGACTTCACGCTAGCTGTTAAAATTCAAGTCACTCCTTGAAAAAGTGCTCGCGACTTAACCGTTTACGTCGTAGATATCGCGTAGATATCGCTACGTTGTAATGAATAAATAATGTTGTAACCGTGTAACGGATGTATTGTAACTTTTCGCAAATAATACGTATACGGCGTCCGTTTCGCGTGTATGACTTGAACGAACGACGGATGGGGTATAAGGGCGGAAAACGTGAATCTGGGGAAAGAAATCAATGTGTGAAAGCTAAGTCGAGAGGTGTTATGAACTGTCGCCGTTCCGCGGTGGTGTGAAGACTGTTTCAAGTTTGCAGCGAACGAAAGCGAGTTCTTAAACCATCTTCGGAGAACGACTTTCGAACGTAGACGTCAGTGCAAAATTTGAAACAATCTTGCGTCTAGGAGCGAAGATACAGGTGCAAATAGATATCCGCGTATAGATTGAAAATAATGGCATAGTGAGGAAATGGTGGATATATGTATATAGTACTTCGCAAAATGAAAAAAAAAGCATCAAGGTTTTTCGTAAATATCAGTAGAAAATATTATGGTGGTATAGCTACGAGTGTTGTGTGAAGCATAATGTATAATAATTTATTATATTCATATTATATTTGGACATACCTAACGTATTTCAAAATTGATGTTATTCTGTTATTCTGACTTACTCATGTTTTGCGAAAAATAGAAAGTGAGTAGTAATAAGCCGTATTAACACAATAATCAAGATGCGAATAATCCACAGAGTTCTTAAATCACCATTAAATTCTCCAGAGATTCATAAACAGAGGATTAAACGAAGAGAGCAGAGAGACAGAAGAGACAATACGAGAAATCCAGAAATCGCGCGCACATTAATGCGAAGAAAAAACAAGATGCGGACAGAATCAAGAAAATCGACGGCAGTTTTGTGTTACGTCAGAGATAAAACAAAAAAAGAAAAAGAAAAGTGTGAATGGAAAACGGTGCGACGAAAGAATGCGAAGCTCGTGTCTCTTGCCCGGCTGCAGAACGGAAGCTACGACGAACGATTCAAGTTTCAGTAAAGAACCGTTAATCATTCACGAAAGTTGCTGCGATAACGATTACTCATCGACTCGTTGGTTGATGAAAGTAGCCGCGACTAGCCGATATTGCAAATCCTCTAGCACTCTAGCTAGAGCTAGAGAAAATAAAGCTTTTAATATTACAAAATAATTATTGTAGCAAATAATTGTAGCAATATAATTATAGCAAACTACAAATATACTTTTTGATCTTAATATTTCTTCTTTATGAGTCTAACGAATTGCTCCATTTTTTATTGTTCGCGTAGATCATTTAGATCGCTATTTTCGAGCGTGCGCTATGACGATGACTAAATATAGCCGGCATATTGTAAAATTGTGCAATCAATAATCTTGCGACGTTGGTCTCTTTGCCAAAACTCTAATTATGTCCGTCGTCGCCCTACGTAGATGTAGACCGGGTAGAGATTGGTGCGTTACACAATTGCGACAATATTGTTACTGTATCGTGAGCGCCGCGTTATCATACTGCACGTAATCGCATAAACGTAATCGTAACTGTTGCTCTCTCAAAAGTACCTCGAAGTCCTTCTTCTTAACAATATATTCGATGTCAAATTTTTTATCCTCCAATGACGAGATCCTATTGTGGTACTCGCGCAGCACGCGCTTTAGGGTGTCTGTGTGGTTCATCAGAAACAAAATAATGTAAAACAAAATAATGACGCGCACGAGAAAACGTCACGTAATTTCTGTGTATATTCAGATTTCAGAATTCGTCTCGGTAATGTACCTCGGTTATTGTGCTTTCACATACACTATTTTTTTTCTATTGGGAAATTATTTTAAGTTGGAAAGAAAGAGCTTAGTGGCACAATAATTCAATCTTGAAAATCATATGCCAATTACCGTACCTTCGACCGCATTTTATACATTTTCGAAAAAAAAATTTACTAGCAATTTAAAAAGAAGATCTTTAAGAAAGAATTGATAGAACTACACGGTGGGAAAAATAGTAACTTAAAGTTTCGACCTGTGAAACTGAAGACGAACACTGGGTATTATTATTAATTATTGTGATTTAGAAATTTTCATATTCTCTACATAAGTGCAACTTTGCCCAATTAAAGACTGTTGCACAAATGTCTAAGAAATTTCTTCTTTAATATAAAATTCTTAAAAATTATTTGTGTAATTCATGCAAGTCGACATTATATCAACTTGTCAAATTCATTGTTTATGTGCAATGATCCTTGCTATTAATTAAAAACGATCGATCAAGTAAAAGCAAATGTAAATTTACAGTTTTATGTACTCAGGACAGCGCGGACTTTGTCTGCATATAGGAAATATATTCTGCCAAAAAAACTGTCAAAAAAATACCATAAACGCGATTTTCGGGTTTTTTTAAGGATTGCATAACGAAGCAAAATACCTTCGTTGGCTTCGTCGACGATCTTCGGCTTTCCGCAGCGCTCCTCGATTATGCGCCTCCTTTCGGCCGCTTTTCTTTCCTGCTCCTTCTTCAATTCCTCGGCGGCTTTCTTACGCAACAGCAACTGTAAACACATGAAAAATTCGTAAGGTTTGGCTCGATAAGAAGAAAAAACATTTCGTAGGCAGATAAAAGGGGAAATTTTGTCAGGAATATTTACCTTGAAATATTTACGCGACTCACCAACGAATTGATTTCTAATAGCATGAAACTGATATAATTTGAATGGAAATACGAATTTATATTCAGTCTGCTATAAACCGCATAAACAATTTAAATCATATGCAATGAAGCGGATTATTATCCTGTTTATTTAATAAATAATAAAGTTGCTCATTACGCGATATCGGTTAATCGTACATTAAAATGGCTATTAAAACAAATAGAGTTGAACGTAACGTCATATGAGTAATTAATCTTTGTGTCTATATAAATATATGTCGTGTAATAACAGAAAGGTAAAATAGAAATAAATTAATACGAGCTACGGCGTGTTAAGCTCACAAAATGCTCGACTCGAGAGAAACATTTCCATCCGTGGTTTACTCACGAAATAATTTAAGCTTACGGCTAACGCCTTTCTCTTTCTTGGTCAACGGCGAGATAACGTCGGTTGGAATTCGGCGGATAGCAAATATTGACGCAGCGAAAGGAAGGAAGGTGGATTTACGGGAAAATAACATGCCGGCGGGACCGGCAAACGCGAAAAGATTCTCCAAGAGGTAATCTGCATACACATGGAAAACTTTATGTATTGCAACTGCGAGTATTCGCGACGGTGCATGAAGAGAAAACGTGGATCAAAGAGGGAGAGAGGTGCATGAACGTTCCGCAGGATGTTGCGCGACGATGGAAACAGAATGGCGAACGTAAGGCGAGACCATAAAGTAAAGGTAAAAAGGCGAAATAAACTTGGGAAAGTTTCGGACGCTCCGCGCCGGGCGGCTGGAAAACAGAACATTGAAAGACGAAGAGATGGGAAACGAGAAGAATAAGAGAAAGTAATAGAGGAATGGATGTGGCCGTTACGAGAAATATTTCGCGCGCGAAAATCGGTGCACAAAGGGTGCAAAGAGGATTATCGCGATATTGCCCGGCGGCGCGGCGCGCGACTGCTCGAACAACGCGAGAGAAGATTATGGCGTGCGATGAGGCAATGAGATAAATCGAGAACGAGGAGCTCGACTTGGTTGTCGATAAATGAACATTCGATGCGGCGCGGCGAGGGTATTGATGCGATATAAAGCATACTTTCGAAAACCTGGCGCAGAGCATTAACACCGTTTCCATTAGCGGAAAAGAGAAATATGACGCGAAAGATTCGCGGCGACTTGTCGCGATCGAGTTTTTAAAGAGGATATCCCACGTCCCGCGTGAGACCTCCACTTGGTCGTGTGACAAAATTCAAGAGGGAAGAAACAAAAAGCGGACTTACCCTAAGCTTCTTCTTCCTGTCGGGGGTCATGAAACCCTTCTTCGCCTTCTTGGCTTTGGAAGCCTCTTCGAGGCGGGCGCGGACCTCCGCCCTCTTCCTCTCGGTCTCCGCCTGTTTCCTCTTCTTTTCCTGCATTTTTCGTGCGAAATTCCCTTAAAACATCTCATCTGAGAAAGCCCTGAAGCGTCCCGTAAAACGCGAATTCGGAAAGTGTTGCGCAATTCGAACTCATCTAACATTTTTCGCACTCCCGTCCCTCTGCTTTCAACTAAACTTTCGCGAGTCTTAAACTTAAGAGCAAGTGCAGCTACGAAATTTACAATAATTGCTGTAATACTAATTCTTTAAAATAAGCATATTAGAAAAGCATCAATGTTGATATGTTTTAGTAAAAGATATACTTGATAAAAATATCAAGTTTTCTATAAACACTAGAATATGAATCCTATCATATAGGGCTATTGATTACATCTCTCTACTGATATTAAAATTTTTGGTTATATAATGTAAAAGCATAAACAAGGATATTACATCTACATATATATTACATATTTCTACTTTTACCCCGTGATTATTTTCTGATTATTTTCGCAGAATTAATATCGTTAATTTAGAATATTTGCAATGGATTTTATTTCATAATAAAACGAGCGTAAGCCCTGTTCCGATGAAAGGATTCCTTTCATCCGCCTGGTAAGTGGCCGTCCTTTAAGAGGCGACTCTACGTTTCATAGCTAGTTTCCTCTCTTACGTACATCCTCGATGCGCTTTCTCTGCAAAAAAAAAGAGAGAAAGAACATTTCTCGTTAGTATATTCTCTGTGTCGTGGGTCGCATGTACGGCGATATCTGAAACACTTTTTGCAGCGCGATCCTTTCGACTGTGAAAAAGGATATTTCTCTCAATGACGATGAAAGAGCAGAAGAGAGAGCTTAGAGAGTTAGAGAGAACGAAAAGATTACGCGCGCGTTTGGTGTCCCAGATTTCGCCATCAACGAATACCTTACAAAGCATTAGCGCAGCGACCGTGTTTTCGCGTGTTTCATGACGATGCAGAGCTAATGGAGTCTGTCTTAAGTGATATAACTTTGTCGCTGTTAAGCGTTATACAACCAGCATACCCGGCGAGCATCTTGTAATATCGTTTTGCGCAAACTGCCGCGTTTCGTTTATGGCATTACGCGCGCACTCTCAGCGCCGACCATTAGCTCTGCCTTCTACAAGCTGTGCAGATCTCAACGACCGGGGTGTAGATCAAAAATAAATCGTAGTCATATACAGAATATACAGAAGCGGTACCATGCGAATTTTCGCGCAACTTTTTACCTTGACATTCCGAATAAACGTTATTCCAACGCCGCGAATAACGTTGTTACATAAGCGTGTCGTGCGCTTAAAAAATTCGTTGATAGTTTACTGTTATAAATGCTATTAATAATTATGATGATTACACATTTCTAAGATGCGAGTAAAAATATGACAATTTTTTTTCTTTGTACTTTTATTAGCATCTTTACGATATAAAGTGTCGATTTTAATTTATTGCTATATGCGGTGCGTGCTGCGAACTCTGTATGGTGATATTATATATTTTGTACACTTTTACAAGTATAACGAGACAAAAATTAAGCATTACATCATGTAGCGTCACAAAAAGAGCCATAAAACAAAAATCACTCCACATGCGAGTTTGGTATCTACTTTACCCCAAGTCTGTTTGATTGTTTTATATTTGTCTGTGATGCGCGTTCTCTCGGGAGTTTTGTGTGATTTACTATAATAGCTGTCCAATTAGCTTTGATTGCAGAAAAAGCAAAGACAATGTTTACTGTTGGGGAGAATGTTTGCTGTTGAATGTTTGCTCACAATAGCACAGCGAAGAATGAGAATTATTTGATATACAAGTTTTGATTATCTGCTTTGATAAATAAATATGCGACATTATAATAACCTTCTAAAGTATTGCAAAATTATAAAATATTTTAATCTTTAATGAACCTTTTGTAAAAGGTCTGAATGTTAGGAATTTGTATCATCCTGTTTGAACAAATAAAACTGAAATAACTTTAATTGTACACTTGACACGGTATATAATGCAAACTTTGTAATTATCAATAGAAAGTTTGTATAAGGGAGACGTTCCCTGCGTCGGCATTGCTAAGTTAACGCTCGTGACTCCGAATAAACGAACCGTCTGCAAAATTATGTTCTTGTAACGGTTTTAATCAGAAAATGGAAGTTCTGCCGATCTTTGGTAGACACTGTCTCCATTACAGTTGGGCTGAGTTTTGCTTCGCGATATATACTGACAAATATCAAATATTTTCTCGTTCCAAAGATAAAATTTCTTCTCTTTCGTGCCATCGTGAGCGGAAGGAGTTAAACCGCGACGAGCGGACGGACCATTTTATAAATATAACCTAAGCAGAGAAATCGATTTGGAAAGGGTAACGATGAAGGTACAGGGTGAGATATAAATTATTACGGTACACTGAAATCGACAAATCAAGGATCACAAGTGGACTTGAATCTGCAATTGAAAATCTGGAAAGGCTTTGTAAGGATAACTTGTGAGTGACAAATATCTTGCTCGAGCGGGAAAGAAGAGATATAAAGTAAGGCAAAGAGATACGGAAGAAAAGTGGAGAGAGATCCGCGTTAAATAATGCCGAAATAAGGGCGAGAGTGTGGCGATAAATCAGACAAAAAAGTCGAGCCGTAGAGCATATAACGGAGACAACGGACATGTCGGTCGTAATACGACCAGTTCCATTTCCCGTTTCCTACAGAGCGGAAATTTTACGGTGAAATTTGCGGAATATATGTTCCCTCTCTACGCGGGTCCAAAAACCTTCATTAACTTTTACATTTGCGGTTCGCGCCGCGCGCAAATTGGCTTCATTATATACGAAAGAAAACTCTATCCCAACGCACAAACGAAAAATTGTCGTCCGCGAGGTGGACGTTACGCACAGAAATGCTGTCACAATTGTCAAGGTAAAGAGCGTAGGGAATGAATTGCTTATTTAAGAACGCAGAGATGAAAGTCATCGCGCGCCAAACCGCTGGAAAATCTCCGCTCAAGAATCTTCCGAGGGTTCTTTCGAGATACAGAAATTAAATATTAAAAATGAAATGAACATCAAACTACAAAACAAATGAAAAATGAAAGTACGTCGGAGAATGAAACGGCTGAGGAATATTGGAAGAGCGTTGGAAAGTTTCTTGTGGGAAGAAAAAAAGGAATGAAGGATAATCACGACGAGAAGCGAGCTTCTGTGATCGCCTCGTCATTCTACGTAGCATATAAATCTTTTTTAGAACGCGCAAACTATGTGGTTCATCCTTGACCACCATCTATATCCTCTACTAAGCTGCTTCAACTTCAAAATGTCACTGTAGAAGAAAAAAACGAGGCTCGGTCTGCTCGAAGTCCTCGGAGTCGGAGCTTTGCCCATAAAAGCTTGACGTAAAGAAGTATAATGTTGAAGTAAATGATTTATTAATAGAAACGTGTATTTGAGACCGAATTTTTATATTTTCTCAAAACGGCGTGTCTCTGTTACAATAAAATATCTGCGGCACAGAATTGATTTTGTACTCTAGGAATAATAAAATTATAAAATTATTAATTTGCTCAATAATAATAATAACTGAAAAGTAATGTGCTTAATTTAGATATTAAAATTAGAGATCATCAAATACACTTTCCGAGCGAATTGAAAGATTCGGTAGAAACATTCGGTAGGAATTAACATTCAGTAGAACCGCTGTTCTATTTTTATTGACAAGGTCTATACTATCATTTCTAAAACTACAGTTTATGCTAACTCTCACAGAAACACAGAAAGCACAAACAATGCATACCTTTCGACAGTAATGCTAATTTTACTGCACGAGTTCAACGCGTAGGATGTGCGTGGTATTTCAGCGGTTCCGTTGTCCAAATGTGAAGATCGGCAGCAGCGAAAATCCACCAAAAGATAAATATGAAAAAAAAAACGTAACATTAAGAAATATCCTATACGCGTTTTTACGCACTGCATGCCACGGTCCTTCCTCGATCGTTGAGCTTTTAAATAATGAATAAAGACACCAAAAAACGCGATTTAAAAAATCCAGATCAGAATACGCACCTAACCTCGTCGTCCGCCATGGTGGTGTCTTGTTGTTACGCGCGTCTACCTAAAAAAATAAATAGAAAACGGTGCAAACGTTATTGTCATATATGTATAGTGGTTGAAAACCTTGGGACACGCTATTAATAGTACCATCAGAACCCTCTCGGTCGTTAAAATAAATAGGCGCCTGCAATCAGGGTCCCCTAGCATCGCGTAAAACAAGATCGAACGTGAGCCTGTGCAACGCCAAGTATTTGCGTGTGAAATGTTCAGCGGTCATCAAACGCTTCCGCGCTTTTTGCGACGCGTATAACGCCGCGGTCGCGCAAATGGAGCGAACGAAAATAATGACGGAATGACGTCGACGGTGAACGGAGAGACTCGGACGTCCATTCGCCCGCGTGATGGAAATAATAGCGGATAACCAGAAGAAATTGATCGACGTGTCTCCGTCGAGCCGAGGCGACAAGGCACACGATCGATTCTCGACCGCCATGCCGATAAATCATGCGGCTCACGCGCGTAGATTTCGCCGCTTAACGCGTGTTGCGGGGCGAAAAGGCGAGCACGGGATATAACGTTCTCGCACGACGCGACGTGCGACGACGGTATAGAATATCCGGCGCGCGAAAATAGACGTCGGCCCGTCCCCACTTTCCGCGACGTGCCGTCGTCGGGACGTCGGGTAACGTCGACGATCCAAATTTGGATGCAACGACCACGGTAGATATCCCGTCGTCGGCGTCGGCGTCGGCGTCGGCTCCTACTGAATTCGATGTCGAAACGGCGAGGCAAGCAGATAAACAAAGTCGTGCACGTCTTTACGAGAGGAAAAGAGAGACAGAGAGGAGCTCGCCGACGAATATGCACGTCAGCACGTCGCGCTATTTGCGAATGACATTTGGAAATGACGGTGCTTGAGAGGAAAATATCGCGCGAGACGCGACGATCCCTCTTATTAGCGAGAGACTCCCGGAATTGCGCCCCGATGCGAAGTATCGACTTGCCACTTGCCAGGACATATCCCGCCGCGCCGTGAGAGACGAGGCGCGGGACCCAACGAAGTTTCAAAACAGATAACTTATATAGGTAAACTTGTATGCGCGCATCCGAAATTGTGCAATTCGGTTAGGCAGATAACAATTACGCATTTAGCGGCGCTTGCATGACGCGCTCTCGTTGCCGCGCGGAGCTCCAAAACGCTCAAGAAGATGGATTGTATCTCGTCTCTCCAGCGACATTCCGCATTCCAAAAATACTTAGGAACATCACGGTTATACAAGCGAAACGTAACGCGACGTCGCGTCGTAACGAACACTCGACAACGGTGAAACAAGATGTCATTAGTGCGGAATGATACTTAAATGGAACGGTCCTTTGTGAATATTTTCGTTATTTTGCACTTTTCCCTGCTTGCTCGTTACATAATTACTGTTCACCTTCGTTTGCTTATTAATTGAGAAAGTAATGCACAATAATTTTCCCAATATACCGTTTTTTTTCTATAGAAATTGCCACCAAGTAATAAGAAATATTCTCTGTAAGTTATAAGCTATTTTCACAAAATTAAGTTTTGAAAAAATATTCCAAAATGTTATAACGCTTTTAGTTTATATATATATATATATATATATATATATATATATATATATATATATATTCTGTCCTTTGATCTCTGCACGGAGCGTCCCACGACTGATGTGGAATTTCGAGCGAGCGTTGCATAATCGGGATATAATTTTGTTGCCTTGCGTCATGAATGACGTTAATATACGAACTTGTCACGATATTGTACGCGAGAATATTGTACGAGGTATCGAAATTTTATAAAAATTGTAGAGCGATCAAATTCCTTTCATCCATTAACCGTCCGTACTTGCTGCAGAGCCTTCTTTTACGTTTGTAATGGACGATCGCCTTTGCTAAGTATAGATTTCCTCGCGCTCGAACCATTCCGAGACACGTATCCTATCGAGACGCACGTACCATCTCCGATATCAAAGAGGCAAGCACCGTAAAAATAGACACCTCGCTAAATCTCATTAAATTATGTGAGACAGTTAAAAAAAGTCCTGGTCAAGAGAAGCTATGTTCTACCTTGTTGAATCTCGTTAAATTAAAGAAGATAATAGTGTAATACAAATATTTTCTTTTCGTTGAAAAATTGTAAAGCCCAAGAAAATTAATCACAAAAGAAATAATCTTAATGATGATCTAACACTGTCCATTAAATAGAAACAAAATTCTATGATTTTTTTTTATTAAAATTAAAATATAAAATAAAAAAGTTCAAAGAAGAGATGATATAATCGCTGCACACGTATTTTGCCAAAGTACTCCGAATAACCGATCAACGGAAACCTTAAAACGGAAGAAGTTCTCGTCCATCACTTTCAACTGCGCGTCACTTTGAAGACGAGCGATTGCTCGTCGATGATCGCCGATCAGTCACTGTCTCGGGAGTCTCGGGCGAATCAATCGTCACAACCTTGAAAAGTATCTTTTGTACCAGCCACTCGTTTTCACACTGACACTCGAACGCGAAAAACTTCTCAACAATTTTCCTCGAATATCGAAATGGCGTTTCAAGAGCAACAACTCATTCCTCTGAAAGAAGAAATCGCGAACGTTCCATTTTTCTCTCTCCTATCCCAAGGTTCTCCAGGCTTCCTCCTGAAGAACACGGGGACGATCGATGCTTTCCGGGACACCCCTCGCGCTGCGACAATAGCGAGGACAATCGCGAGGACTATACGGGAAGTAGGCTTACCTTGTGGAGAAAGCTCGCTGGCTGCGACTGGCCAACTGGACCTTAGGCAGCTGACTGTGCCATCGTGGATACCTAGTCGACTTCGTGAACCTCCATCGTGGGCTACCGTTCACGTGGTACAAGCACGACCAATGGCGACGCGCCATTGGTCGTAAGCATTTTTAGGCGAGTGTTCTGCCCGCTCTGCATGTTGCCAAAAATAATCGGAAACTGAAAACGGAGCTGAGCCCGCTTGCTACGTCGCTAGGCTTACCCGTTCGTTCGCCGGAACGCCTTCTGATCTCGCTCACCGTGGCTGTTATGAGACAAGAACGGAGCGGTCTTGAACTCGTTCGCCCTCGAACGTCACTAATTAAGATGCCGCTATTAAGAACCGATATGAAATGACTTACTAACGTTAATAGAATCAAAGGAGCAATATTTAGTAAATGTATTCTCTATAGATTTATAGAATTTTTATACGCACGTTTTTAAAAACATTCTGATATGCATATAATAGATGTATAATTTCAAGCGGGTTAATTTTCTCATATTAGTACAGGCCAAAATATTATATTCATATTTTTACATTTACATATCAAATATATGTTTGATTTTGACAAGCATCATTTCACTCTTTGTTATATCGCATTGCGCGAAAGAATTAATTCGAATAAAAACATGCGTCATTCTCAGAGACAAGTCGAATACACGTAACAGATAGCTAGATGCAACAAAAAATGAGAAGCTTATGTCTCACAATCAAATTTTGTAAAAATTAATATCCCGTTCGCGCAGCTCGGGGTGGGGAGAAAAAAAACTGAGATATTATCGGCACCTTCTGAATTTCTCGCGTTTGCAGCTGTTGTTTGGCACTAAACGCGGTAACGATGACGGAAACGTCGACGCGTCTGATCGTAACACAATCGTATCGGCGTAATGTCACCATCGAATTTCAATAAAACTCTTGGCTCAAGAGTAGAAGTTGCATGTGCTATGAGAGACTCGTGGAACGTCTCTTATCTGCAAAAACTGTCAAACGTGATTCCTTTCTATAGCATTAATCATTAGGATATGTTAGCACTGACAATTTTACATTTATAAATATCAGCATATAATCCACTTTAATGTTTTATTAATATAATAATCATCCACACAAGGATTAGTAATATTTCGTTACATACGAACTACACTATAGCATAGTACTGTAATACTGCAATATACGTATATAATATCGCATTACGTGCAAAGCGCTATTATTATCAACATTAAAATTATACGTTCAGATAAATAATGAAAACATTTATTATTAATTATAAACATGAGAGTAGTATCATGATATTATATTACTAGATAATTTATATGAAAAAATTAATTCTCCCTCTCTGAATTGTTCAATAACTACAACAAATTATTTACTTATATTTTCATTGCAACTTTGTATAATCATTTGTATTGTAAAGTTATTATACGTAATAAAAACTTTTTTATTTTTTATTTTACTAGTAAATCCACTTAAAATTTTTAAAAAAGTTATAATTTTGTGAACTCTTATTGTGTTAATTTATAATAATTCTCATCAGTAAACCGTGATGGCAATAAATAAATTAAAGATGATAATTACCCTTATTTTTAGAAGTTTTTAAATACGTATCAGAACATGCTGTCTGTGTCAACCTAAAGTTTTTATAGCTAGTACAACACTAAAAAGAATTAATATATATTTTCATATAAAAAAGTAGATGGCAGTAATAATTTGTTTCATAATTCTGAATACGTAACCATATTATGGCTACAATGAAAAACGAAAGGGTTAAGAGAAACGAAAATAAGTTTTAAATCTTTTTTGAAATTGAAATGAGAGAATTACATAAATTAAAGAAATTTTACTAAAAAAAGTCATAATAATGCAAAGTAATTGTTTTATCTCAAAAGCAAAGAACGACAAGTCAAGTAGAACAAACCCGCCGAGTCAGCCACGTGGCATATGTCGATGTTACGTCGCACATTTAACATAGGTAACCTATCTACGGTAAACTTCATTATCGGTAACGTTTTCTCATTTTATGCTCGTATCAATATTTCTCATATTATTATTTCTTATTGCTTAAAAGTCCTTTTTGCATGTCTTTCTCTCTGTCGTAATTTAATCGATCCCCGAAAAATCGATGAAACCTTGCTAGGGGGAAAGAAGGTACACAAGTAGAAGAAGCGCCCGCGAACAGACGCGTGGTACATATCGAGACTTGGTCGGACAGTTTAGTAGGAATGGATAATATAGGTCTCTGCGAAGTTAAAGCTAAATAAAGTTCGATGTAGATGCTGCGTAAGCGAGAAGATGGCGAGAACTTACGAAGGAATTCGAAGTTCTTTTGCTGCTATAAAATTTTTTTTATATTCGTATGCGTATACAACGGGCCATAACACCATCTGATAAAGATCGCGTGTTGCAAGACTGTATTGCAGGTTCATCAACATGAATACAGTCTTATGGGAGGGGTAAACTGCTGAGGTCATTTCGTCGAGGCATTGCTAGAAATTATTAGGAATTAGTGGACATTGGTGGGCATTGGTGAGCATTGGTGGGCATTGGTGGGCATTAATGGGTCTTATGGGCCCACCAATGCCCACCAATGCCTACCAATGTCCACTAATTCCTAGTAATTCCTAGAATGCCTCGACGAAATGCCCTCAGCAATTTACCCCTCAGTATTACGCTATTACTGCAAATACTTTGTATTTATTAAAATGAAACAAAGTTCAAAGAAACGTTAATTCTGCAACGCCTGCGTCAACCTTACGAGATGCCTCCCCTAATATACCAAGGTCGATGTTCTAGCACCCCCTTTGACAAGACGCTTCCAAAATAATATGCGATCAGGTGTAAAGTGTAAATAGATTTTCCGCATCATCTCGCATTCCGTAACCTTATCGAAGTTTACGGTGTTCATCATTGACCGCTTCATCCAGCCGCTTAATATCAAGATCATAATTATATATACTCGGCATCTGTCTGTGCATTGCTCAATCAGCCTTATACAATCACCTTCCTTGAGGTTCACCTCTGATATATTAGAGCCTAAATCCTGTCAACGGTGAGATGCACGTGAGCAAAAAGGACGGACCTACGTGTATGCAGAAGGTGATGGAGAGAAAGAGAAGGGCACGAGCTAGAGGGTAAAAGACATTACAGGTTTTCTCCTGATGCGTGCACCATCGGTGTCGTAACCTTTAACCTATTCCCTCTTGTCGGAGGGAGTCACAGGTAGAGCCCCTGGGCTTGGGGGGGGGGAGAGGGACGATGAGGTTGAATGTGGTGCGCTCGAACGGATCATGGGGTGAAAGGGGAACGGGGAGGGCTACCCTCTGAACAGCGGTGATTGACCCGGCGTCCCTGTTGCCACGACGACGATCCCGTGACGTCACGGGACAAGCCGGGGTTTATGGGTGACCCACATTCCAAAAATAACCGTCACCGACCTGCCCTCCCGCCGCATCGTCTCTCATCAGCCGTTCTCACCCTTCGCCTTCTCTACCGCTGCACAAACGCGTGCACGCACACACGCTCATCGATCAAATCACCGACACACGCCACTATCCGCTCGCATATCTCAGCGCAATTCTCGTCTTTCCTCACGATGTATTTTTTCTCTCCATTTCTTCTACAATCGTCTTCGTTCTCGCGGCTGAAACAGGAGGCTATTACCGCGCGTCAAATCATTCTCGAAACTGGACCGGAGTCCGCGAAGAGGAGGTGGAGAGAGGTCGGGATGCACGCAGCAACACTCGAATACCCCTGTTATCGATTGACAAGTGACGAGAAATGTATGTATAAATGCACCAAGTTAATTGTATGCTGTTCTCGCGATTCTGCGAACTATCGCGGCGTTATGACGCAGATTTATCGAAATGGAGGGAATCTAAAGAGAATGCAAAAAATGACAATAAATTAAAACGATGATAATTGCCTTGGATAAAATTATAGTGATTTTGACCCATACAATTTTCGTTTAGTATTATACACAGGTGTAAAAAGCGCTCCTTGATGTCAAAAACTTTTAAATATTTTTTAACTCTGACCTTTATTACCACTGAACTACAACCAATCTCTAACGATATTAAATTTGTGACATGCATAGGTAAATTAAAAATAAATAAAATAAATTTCAAAAATAAATGAGATGATATTTTCACCCACGATGACAAATATAGTTTCAACATATAGTTTAACATATAATTTCAAAAATACGAATATTTTCCGGATGTCCTTTTCGACGATATTTCAGTCTAGCTGCAATTTGCAATTTTTTTCTATTCGTGCAAAGATATATTTGAAATTTGTTTTATTTTCTAATACGACTCGCAATCGGGTTTGAAATATCGTACTGCAATTGTCTATTTTTCAGAAACTTTCCGTCATGTTAGCTTGACAATTTTGGTGTCAATTTTAAGACATAAACTAAAAAATTTACACTTGTGTATAATTCGCTTTCGAATTTTGTTAAATAAATAAATAGGTCATCTATCCGTTAAGTCAGGTTTTTTTTATGTGGTTGGAATTTCTATGGTGTATCGTGGAGCATGTGTGAATGCACGGCCTTTCGTGGTAACTGTAGTGACTGATTAGAGCGCAATTTAAGTGTCAAAAATAACAACTTTTATCTATCATTGAAATTGAAAACGCTGCGCAATTTTACACAAGATGTATTAGTTTAAAGCCAACTTTTGGCGTTCTATAATTTGCATCAAATTTAACGAATTTTATATGGTGTAATTTAATATACGTGTAAATTTTGTAATACATATTTCATATACGTGTAATTTGATTTTTTAAGTATTATTGTGAAGTAAAAGTACCAATGCCCGGACATGTACCTATACCTGGACACCTTTATTATTTATAAGTAACGCGAATTAAAATCAAAGATCAAATTATTTTTTCTTGTAGTTTGAAACTTTAGTTATAGTATCCAAACATTTATTTCCATAAATTTATATTTTTTTAAAGGTATCCAGACATAAGTACGTGTCCAGGCACTGATACATTTATCTACTCTTAAGTGTCCCGGCATTGGTACTTTTACCTTATTATATGAC